GCTGTTGGTTTGGCTGTTGCTGCCTTGCTCAGGCTGTAGTGCTGTTCTCCCCTGACCTGCCATCCATGCCCACAGCCTCACTCCGTGGCCCGGCACACCATCCGCTCCAGCAACAGGAACAGCCGCGCCGAGAGAACGGCGTCCGAGATCAACTGTGAGTGCTCAGCCTGGGCAGCATCCACCTCTGCTGTCCCCAAAACAGCACCAAAACTGGGGAGACAAACCCTGCAGAAGCAGCATGCTTCAATAATAATAATTAAAAAATTAACAATCATAATAACATAATAAATATAATAGAAATAAATCTATCTCACGTATATATATTTAATATAAATATTTTTATTTATTTACTTGTGGCAGTTTGGGTTTGCTAATTTGAAATGAAAATAAAACAAAGCTTTCCTGGGTTTTTTTTTTGTTTGTTTTTACATGTGTGTTTCACAGAGATACATAAATTTTCTCATTGGTGTAACAAAGTGTCAGTCTTAAAAATCCAACACTGGTTGGTCCTTGTCAAGTACAAGGGTGACTGCCCAAATCTCAGCAGGTAAAAATTTCAAGAAATCTTTGCAAACCACCACAGTAATATAATATAATAGAATAGAATAGAATAGAATAGAATAGAATAGAATATAAATTATATATTAACATACATAAATATATAAATATATATTAATGTAACTACTTATATATATTATAAATATGCATAAATTTAATATAAACAAATAGATTATAGTTACATTCTAAAAATACAAGAAATATATTTATTATTCGAAAATAAAATTACATTGTAAAAATACAAGAAATATATTTATTATTCAAAAATAAAATTAACATTCGTGTTAATAAACCACTCAGATGGATCTGAGCTGAAATGCTGGGGGTAGAAATGATTTTATCTGCAGATTTGATCAAAAGCTTTTGGTAGCACCAACACTGGCACCACCTACATCACACTCTGGGAAATTTGCTCTTGAGCCTTTTTCTCTTTCACATGCATTTCAAAGTGACAGGTGGTTAAATAATTACCTTTTTGTGACTTGGTGTTTGCTTTTGGCCTTTCTTGTGGTTTTCATATTTGCAAATTCGAGCAGTCACACAATGAGGCTGATACTGAAGTGCTGCTCATTTGTGAGGCAAATTCAGAGTTGTGTACACGAACTTTAGATCTGTTCCTACCTGAATTTCACTGCAGTGAGCACTGAAAGGATCCCAGTGCAAGACTCTGTGTGTTAATTGTGAAATAATTTTATTTTGTAGTTGATAAGCTGCAGTTTGAGCCCCCTCTACGGAAAGAAACAGAAGCTCGGGATGAGATGGTAAGGACAAGTTTGGGGTTTATTTATTTATTAAAATTCCAGTATCTTCAATATTTTGTTGTTCAATCCTTAGCACCTTGCTGGAAAAAAAATTTTAAAATTCCCTAAGTGACCCTTACTGGATTTTTCACCATAAACTTTTATTTTCCTTATTGCTGCTTGATCTGGACATTACACCATTTCCAGATGCTGCTTTTAACTCTTAAGAAGAAGAAAATAAATTATCAAGAATTTCTTTATAGGTTGCAAGATGTTATTTCTCTTTGGAATTTGATTTTAGTGCTTGTGGATTGTTCTGCAGGGCTGGGGAATCCCTCAGGCCTCTTTTGTGTGTGCTGGATAAGATGCTTTAAGATACTTTAGTTTGACAGGGAGGGGAAATAAAATGACAATTTTTGCATTTTCAGGTTGTGGCAGCTGGCAGTGACTTTGCTTCACATTGGAATCCTTTTGTTGATGGAAGCAACAAGTAAGTACAGATAAAACCAGCTTTTATTTCTCTGACTTATTATGAAACTGAAAGAAAATTGAGTTATGTTAAAAAAAAATCAAACCATAAGCTCTGATCCACTTGAATATTGATAAATTAAGGAGTGTGCAGCCCTCCTTCTGCATGTGCTTGGTCAATTCTCTTGGAGAGTGATTTTTAATCTCTTTTAACCACCACCAGTAGCTCGTTTGAAGTTTGTAGGTGGGAAGTGAAGTGTAAAAGCATGACCAGGACAGTGACATAACACAGCCATAGTGAATTTCCTGCAGCAGAGCTGAGTTCAGGATCCTGCTCTGGCCTCACACTTCTCTTCTGAGCTGTGGCTGTGGTTGTGACATCCTGTGACAAAGCCTGTGCACAGCCCTGAACTCGAGAAAGGGAAGGAGAAACCAATTCTGAATGTTGAGTTTTACCAAGCTCAGTAACACTGCAGCACTCCTCCTGCTGTGGGTGTAATTTATAACTCAGCCTTGCAGTGTTTTGGGGTGAAATGTTGTAGGTGAAATGTTGAAATGTTTATAGCTGGTTTTCCTGGGATAAAACAGGTCTGAAGTACAGGAGCACCACTCTCCAAGTGAGGACAGAATTCTTTTAGGTGTGTACCTTCCTTCTGCTGCTAAAAAGTGCATTCTGCCTTTAAAGGCAATCCCTGGATTTGCAGTCAGGAGTGTGGAGGTTCAGATGGAGGGAAAGATGATATCTGGGCTCAAATCATTGCTCAGCTCAAAGGGCCTGTTTCCCATCTTTATTTGGAACTCAGCAGCAGACAGTGAATTTCTCTGGCTTTTTTTTTTTTTTCCTGCAGATAAAAGTCTTGCATAAGCTGTCAGCTGACATTGCAGCCCCCTGGAAGGCTGCTGGAGATTGCCAGGATTTGAGGATTTGAGCCTTTTTTAAGCATCCTGGTTTTCCTGCTCCCAGCCTTTGTTGTACTCCAGGAGTTTGGGGGGCTCTGGGGCTGCACTTTGGGGGGCTCTGAGCCTAAACTTTGGGGGCTCTGGCTCTCCCCTGCCCCATTTCCTCCTCTCCCTGTGCTCTGGGTTTGTTTGTGTGACCCTGCTGAGCTGTGGATTGAAGCCTTGCTGGGAGTGCTGGATTTTCTGCAGACAGCTGGAATTTGTGGGGTCCAGGAGCAGGGAGGGAGGGAGAGAGGGAGGGAAGCTCCTCCTGGCAGAAACACTCAGAGATTTGATCCTGTTACTGTGAATTTATTTGTAGCAGGCTGTGCTAAAGCTGCAGCAAACATTCCCAGGGCTATAAATCAAGAAATAGGTACAGATTGATTTGGAAGGAGGGCAGGCACAGCACTCCTGCATGGTGGATCCGTGCTGCTCACTTGGAAACCACTTCTAGTTGGAAAGATAAACAGGAAATGCATAACTCCTCTGGCCCAGCACTTCTGAGTAATCCCTGGCATGTCCAGAGAGGATGTGTGCTGGGGGGTCCTTGCTTTTCATGCCCTTTGGCTTTTATCACAGTGGATGCTGAGGGATATCTTTGATTTAGGAATTGTTTCACTGCAAAGGGGAATAGCAGAACGTGGACCTGATTCCTTGGTTTTCTCACTGCAGCATTTTAAAATTACTTTTGTATAAATGTCCTGAATTATGGAGGGGTTTTTTATTGATGGTTTTCATAGAATCCCAAAAGGATTTGGGTTGGAAGGGACCTTTAAGTCCATCCAATTCCACCCCTTGCCATGGGCAGGGACATCTTCCACCATCTCAGGTTGTTCCAAGCCCTGTCCAGCCTGGCCTTGGACACTTCCAGGGAACCAGGGGCAGCCACAATTTCTCTAGGCAACAAGAACCTTTCAAAAAGAAAGACTTTCTCTCCTTTAAATTTTTAGTAGTTCCTATTGGCAGCTATCTGCTGCTTTCCCTCAGAAGTGACTTGCTGGGATATTTTACATTAATCCAAATTTGGCTGGGTTTTCCTGGACATTGCTCTTTAAAGACACAGCTTGAAAATTGCCATTTTGCAAAATTTTATCAGTTTTTTTTTTTTCTTCAAGGTTTGATCCTCTAGTCACAATTTCTTTTTTTTTTTGTTGTCCCTGGAGTAGCTTTGAAACAAAAATTCTCACTAGAGTGTGAAACAATCTGAGTCTTTGGTCTATATGTATAAATAAGGAGACTTCCCTTTAATGGCTTTTCTCTGTTTGTCTCCCTGTAACTTCCTCTGTTCTTTTTTTTCTCTTTTTTTATTGTACTGGTGTTAGATATTTCAGTGATATTTGAAATGCCAAGTAGGGAAATGAAAGCTGATGGTGTGGAGGAGAGATCCAGTGATTTTTTAGAGGGTAAGGAGAAGGAAAGGACCTTACAAAAAGGGCTTAGTGCAGAGAATTATTTGTTTTGGGTAGGGCTGGGAGATGCTTATTGTGAAACTCGGTGACATCAGGGATGGGTTGAGTTGCACGTGTTGACCTCAGAGCTGAGCTCTTAATTTTATAAACATTCTGCCTTAGGGGACTGCTCACAAAATTTGGAGATGGGAGTGAAGATGTTGAAGAGTGAGTGGATCTCCTTCCTGTACAGTTGCTCTGCTCCAAAACCTCTTCCCTCAAAATGCTGCAGGAGGCTTTGCCACTCACAGAGCCAGGGCTGGCTGCTCTCCCAGGGCTAACACACACTTGGCTCCTTCCCTGATCCTCAGGAGAAATCCCAAATTCTGCTTTCTGCCCTGCTCCCCTTCCTGAGTTCTCTTACAGTCCCTGTGGAAGTGTCTAATAGATAAAAGCAGATTTTGTGTTGATTAATCCATCAGCCATGAGCAAGGTCTGGTTGTGACAGGATGATCCTGCACAGCTCAGGTGTCCAAATGTTTGTCTGATCCAAAAGCAAGGCTGCAAACTGGAATCAGAGAATCCCAGAATAGTTTGGTTGGAAGGGACATTAAAAATCATCTTGTTCCACCCCCCTACCATGGGCAGGGACACCTTCCACTGTCCCAGGCTGCTCCAAGCCCCATCCAACCTGGCCTTGGACACTGCCTGGGATCCAGGGACAGCCACAGCTTCTCTGTGCCAGGGCCTCCCCATCCTCACAGGGAAGATTTTCTTCCCAATATCTCACCTAAATCTCCCCTTTTCCAGCTTAAAACCATTCCCCTTTGTCCTGTCAATCCAGGCCCTTGGCTGAGATGCAGTCCCTGAATGTATATTGATTTACAAACTTCAAATATCCTTCCCTGCAGTTTGCTCTATAACATTGGTATTTATGAAGGAACAGGAGTTTATGAAAAACCAACACTTCTAACGAGATTAATGAGTTTCCCCTCTGCTCTGGCATTTCTAGTTTAACCCTGTGTGTGCAAAGCTCTGCTCTGCTTTTCTGTGTCTCTGGTTCATCTTTTTTCCAGTCCTCAGGGTATTCTGGGTTTGGTTTAACTCAGACAACTGCTCCCTTCTCATTGCAGATCGACACTAAAACGAGCTGGGCCACCCCCGCTGCCTCCCAAGGTGAGAAATGTGGGATTTAAGGATTTAGCCACACCTGGGATGGCCTCTTGTTCTGCATTCTGCCTGTGATACTCCATCAGAGGGGAACCTCTGCAATTATGCTGCTGTCAGATGTTTTATTTTCATAGAACCACAGATCTCCTGGGAGGGACCCACAGGGATCATCCAGAGCAGCCCCTGTCCCTGCACAGACCCCCCAACAATCCCACCCTGGGCATCCCTGGTGTCCCAACACTCCTGGAGCTCTGGCAGCCTCGGGAATGTCACCATTCCCTGGGAGCCTGGGCAGTGCCCAGCACCCTCTGGGGGAAGAACCTTTCCTAAAATCCAACCAAACCCTCCCCTGGAACAGCTCCAGTCCTTCCCTCAGGTCCTGTCCCTGCTCACCAGAGAACTTTTTATCTTTCTTATATTGTGGTGCCCAAAATCACACACACATTTCAAAGGCTGACTTAAATTCAACTTGTCTGAGGTTTATTCTTTCCAGGTGCCATTCCCAATTCCAAACATTTCCCAAATAACCATTCCCCTCTTTGCTTCCCTGCAGCCGAGGATGAACAGTTACCCCGAGGAAAACCTCCCAGATGACAACAGATGCCAGACAATAAAACACTTCCCAGACTCCCAGAGCAGAGCCCCAGCAGCCCACAGGAGACAGAGCATCCCAGTTTGTGGCTCCCAGGCAGATTCCTGCCCCATGGGAATGACCAGCAGCATCAGCAGCCCTGGATTGCTCACAGCCAGATACAGCGACCTGGGTAAATGCCTTACCTGTCCTAAAACTGCCTGGCACCTTGGAAAAGGAATTGCTTCCAGAGCCAGCTGTTGCCAGTAGATAATATTTTAAAACAAGCTGATCACAAGGTGAAGTTTTTCTTTTTCCTTGTGTGGTTCTTATTAGAGCCATTGCCCCGTGGTGGGAATGTTGTTCCCAAAACAAAGACACTCAGCCAGTCAGTCCCATTACTGTGTTCCCTGCAGGAACAGCAGCAAAACAATGAATGTGTGGGGAGGACATTACCACAGCAGAAAAACAATGAATGTGTGGGGAGGACATTACCACAGCAGAAAAACAATGAATGTGTGGGGAGGACATTACAACAGCAGAAAAGCAATGAATGTGTGGGGAGGACCTTGCCACAGCTTTATTCTCAGTGGGATTTGTCCCAGGGACTGTTTGGATAATGGGAAGTTTGCAACTCAGCGTGGACACTGTGCTGGGAAGGGCTCAGCTCCCTGAGATGTGGCTGTGGAATGTCAGAACTCACTCCTCCACTCCAGCTCAGCACAAGGAAGAAGAGATTTTCTATTTCTCTGTGTTAAATAAGCTTCAAACCATGTCTGGGCTCCTTTTCAGGCAATGGGAATGGGATGCTGAAACACATCGAGGAGAATGCAGAAGGACCTGGACAAATCCCTCAACTGCCAAGGAAAAAGGAAAAGAGAGATTTCCCTGTAGGTATTGGGACTGTGGGGCTGATGTCACTGTCACGTCCTTGAGTGATCAGTGCACAGGAGGGGTTTCATGAGCTTTTCTTTTTTCCCACAGAAACCAGCAATCAATGGTTTGCCTCCAACTCCAAAGGTGCTGGTAAGAAATCCATGTGCACTGGGAATTAGGGAAACCTCTCTCTGGTGTGGAAGGTTTATACTGGAATAAATCACTTGGGGGATTTTCTTCATCTCACAGCCAAGTGCTGAATCCACAATATTTGTTTCCATTTTTTCAAAACTTCCTGTCACTTTTCAGTCTGCATGGGAAGGGTTGGAGGCTTCCCTGGTTCCTTGAGTTGTGATTTCCAGGGACAGCCCCTGCTTAGGAAGAGAAATGGTTGTAGTGATTGTAGGTTGTAGCTTTTGCCTGTTTTCCCTTCATGTTCCATTTTATAAGCACTCAATATTCATATGTTTTTTATTTTCAATAAATAATAGCCAATATTGATGTAATATAGAATAAATTTAGATTGGAAAAGCCCTCTAAGATCACTGAGTCCAACCATTCCCAGCACTGCCAAGGCCACCACTGAGCCGTGTCCCCAAGTGCCACATCCACATGGATTTTAAACCCCTCCAGGGTGATTGTTCTTACCCAGTAGCTACCTAAACTTGTTGATACCATTTTGAGCCCTCTTTTGCATTTTTGCATGTCCATGAATTGAAATTAAAAGCAGTGGAAGGCTGTGTGTGTTCAGCTGTGTGTGAGTAGCCAGGAAATCAACTCTTCACACTCTAAATTCGTTTCAGGCTTCAGTTTTGGTGTCTTTCAGATGGGAGCCTGTTTTTCCAAAGTCTTTGATGGTTGTCCTTTGAAGATTAATTGTGCAACTTCATGGATACATCCAGATACTAAAGGTAAAGTTATGTTAGATTTGGTGATGGACCTGGGAAAGAAAATAATTTGTAAAGTTATTTTAGGTTTGCATTTGAAACCTCCCAAAGTGGGAAGGAAATAATCCCTTTCCATTGATTTTTCAGATCAGTACATCATCTTTGGCACAGAAGAAGGGATCTACACTCTGAATTTAAATGAACTTCACGAAGCAACCATGGAACAGGTGACTTGTGCTGGGTTGAACACACAGAACAGATTTGGGGATTTTTATGAAGCAATAAAATTTGGCACTGGAGGGAGAAGGTGGATACCAGGCTCTGGGGCTTCAATGATTCCCATCAAAGCCAATAATGAAAACCTGACAATTATTTATTCCTTGACCTATCTGTATTTTTTAGTTGCTGCCTGTGTAACTCTGCTGTCAAATCTTCCATCTCCTTGGAGAACAATTCCCTGCCCCTTCTCCCTCCATTCCATCCCCACTAGATGGCACATTGCAGCTCCTTGCATGCAAAGCCCTCCATCATTTAATGCTGTTGTTATCCCCCAAGAAGCTTTTCCTGCTCTCTCTAACCCTTTCCAAAGCCATTTCATGCAATCATGGTCTTAAATCTGGTGTTTCTGAGTCAGGATGTTCTTGGAATCTCATTCCTCGTGTGTTTTCCTGAATTATTTAATCTAACAGATTTCTCTGGCTTTTTCCACTTGCTTTTTTGTGTCCCAGTGGAAGGTTGGCTATGCCAGTGCTGGGTAGGGAGAACATTCAGTGCACTAAAAACAAAGTTTCCTATTCCATGAGAGCAGCTGGCAGAGGTCAGGTGTGACCACCCCAAACCCCACAGGCTTCTGCCACACTTGGTCCCACATTTCCTTTTATCTATTTGATGATTTTTCCCCTCCAAATGCACATTCTGAACTGTTTCTCCAACTTTTAATTCTGGTTGCATCTTCCAGAGTGCTTCCTGTCTGTCCAAGGTTAATATCTCCCAGTTCCAGGAAGATATTTTTATTCCATTGGTAGTTTTGCAGTGGAAACGCTGAATAAACCCAAAGCTATTCTATTAAACAGAAAATTGCTGGGAGATATTCAGAGTTTGTGTCTAACCAGTTGGATCTTTTCGTTCTACACTTTCTCCCACACCTATTTTCTTAATTTACACGTGGGAGTGGCACACAGGACAAAGTGTTCTGGAATTATGGAGTGGTTTGGGATGGAAGGGACCTTAAATCCCATCCAGTTCCACCCCTTCCATGGGCAGGGACACCTTCCACTGTCCCAGGCTGCTCCAAGCCCATCCAGCCTGGCCTTGGACACTTATTCCAATATTCCATGGTCTGTCTGTACAGGGCAAAGTAAGGCTCCAAAACAGGGAATAATAAGCAGGAAGATGGGATTTTCTCCAGTGTGGATCCCTGCAGGAATGGTGGTGGAGGTGGAACAGGCAGAGAAAATCACAGTTAAAATTCCTTTATGTTTCTGTTAATGGAATTCTTTTCTTTTTTCCAGTTATTTCCTCGAAAGTGCACCTGGCTCTATGTTATCAACAACACCTTAATGTCCCTGTCAGGTGAGTGTAAATCGAGGGGAAATGATTGCAGTGATAAATAAACAGGAATATTTGAATTCATGATTGAATGCAATGATGTCTTTGGTTTTGTGGAGAGGAGAAGGCTCCAGGGAGAGCTCAGAGCCCCTTCCAGGGCCTAAAGGGGCTCCAGGAGAGCTGGAGAGGAACTGGGAACAAGGGATGGAGGGACAGGACACAGGGAATGGCTTCATCTGGGTTGGATGGGATATTGGGAAGGAATTCCTGGCTGGGAGGGTGGGGAGGCCCTGGCACAGGGTGCCCAGAGCAGCTGTGGCTGCCCCTGGATCCCTGGAATGGGATTTGGAATATCTTGGGACAGTGGAAGGTGTCCCTGCCATGGCAGAGGATGGCACTGGATGGGATTTAATGTCCCTTCCATCCCAGAGCACCCTGGAATTCTGTGTTCCTAAAACAAAACCTGTGTCCCTCTGAAGGAGAACGAGGTGGTTTTCAGGTACTGCTGATGCAGCAGTTTTGCTTGGTTTTTGTCTTGGTTTATAGATAAGGTAATATCCTAATAGAAATTATTGTAGTTTTATAATTACAGCCTTTTAAAAATGTTTGCATGCAACTAAACTGTAATGAAATGAGCTCAGATCTTCTCTGTATTCATTATTATTTTTATCTCGTTTTCTATTTATTCATATCTGGACTTGACCTACCTGACACCTGTTTGTAGAAGGTAATTTTTCCATATTTGTATTTTCCTGAACATTGCAATTCTGTGCTGGAGGAGTGGCTGAGATGTCAACTGTGCCTTTCTCTCTTCCAGGGAAAACATTTCAGCTCTACTCCCATAATTTAATAGCATTGTTTGAACAAGCCAAAAAAACAGGATTAGCTGCTCATATTCAAACCCACAGATTTCCTGACAAAATATTACCAAGGTACAAACTTATAGACAATTATTAATGAGTGAAAATAGAGCCATAAATTGTGTTGGTGCACGAAGGGCCCTGACTTCTGTTGCTGATGCATTTTTTGGTGATTATTATTCCAGGAAATTTGCCTTAACAACCAAGATCCCCGACACAAAAGGATGCCACAAATGCTGTATAGGTGAGCAGACAAATCCAGATTTGCCATTTATTCCCCTGCTCTTTGTCAATGGACATGGCATGTCTGAAACTCATTTCTTTTTAATTAATTTAAGAGTTCTTTGTTCAGAAAAAAAGGCTGAGGGAATTAGGGTAGTTCAGCCTCAGAGTGACCTAATTGGGGCATTTCAGTGTCTGAAGGAGCTACAGGAAAGATGGAGAGAAATTTAAATTTACATTATTTATTATTTATTGGGGATTGTTTATTATTTATTTTGGGATTAAATCCTTCCCAGACTCCTGGCACATCCACAAACAGCCTTTCTGCTTTGTCACCTTGGCTCAAAGTGTGAACCAGTTCCAACTTGTAGTGAGGAAAACTTGAATATTTTCCAAGAAAGAATCAGTAGGAATAAAAATTCTGGCAGCCTGGGAAGAGCAGAGCCATAAGTGCAGTTTGAAGGGCACAGAAGGGGTTAAATCTTGGGAAATTGGGGATTTCTCTGCAGCTTGGGCTTCCTACAGAATGTTTGTCCTTTCCAATACTGGCCCTGGTGCTGTGTGAAGTCACAATCCTGGAATGACCAAGGCTGGAAAAGCTCTCTAAGATCATCCATCCATTCCCCCAGCCCAGCACTATCCCACATCCCCATTGTACATCTGCAGATTGTACCTTTGCACCCCTAAAAATGAATATACAGCTGCACACTTCAGCTCAAATAAAGTGTCCCCAACAGCCACATGTACAAATAATTCCTGAAATCAGGCTGCTCCTGTGTCCAGCAGAGCTTAAAAAACCACCCTCAAACCCTGTCTCATGTATTTCATGAGCTGTCAGAGCTCCCCAGGAGCTTCTCACCTTCCCTGCCTGGGAATTTATTCCAAGAAATTTATTCCAGCCTGACCTTGAGCTCTCCCACAGCCCCAGGGAGAGTCACTGCAGCTTTTCTGCCCACTCAGCCTCTGAACTGGGAATCCAGGAATGCAACTGGTTATTAATTAAAGCTATAATTGAATTTATCTGGAATGTGGCACAATATTAATCACTGTGGATGTTGGGATGGGAAGCCAGAAGGCAACAAGTGGGAAACTGATGGAACAAGATGGGCTTTAAGGTCCCTTCCAAGCCTAATCATGCCATGATATGATTTGATAATGCTAATTCTTAACTCATCTGTAAAGATAGCTGTAGGCTTGGGGGTTTTTTTTTCAAGTATGCATTGAACTTGCAAGGCTTTAAAATTAATATTTTTTGTGGGTTTTTTTTATTTTATGTAGTACGAAATCCATACACAGGCCACAAGTACCTGTGTGGTGCATTGCAGTCTGGAATTGTTCTGCTCCAGTGGTATGAGCCAATGCAGAAATTCATGTTAATAAAGGTAAGCATTTACTTTTAGTTGAGTTGAATAATTATGCAGTTGTTGAAATAACCTTTCCAGAGTTTGTGATGGAAAGTTCACCCCGGGCTGGTGCCATTTGTGGGTTGTGAGCACTTGAAAATCTGGCTGGACACATTTTGACTCAGAAAATCTTGTGACTGAAGTAATTTAAGTAATATAAAAGTCATTTAAGAGCTGGATCAAACCCAGCACTGGCAATAAGAGACCATGATCCACCTCTACCTAAAAGCAGTGAAAATTCTGTTCATTTATACTTCCTGCATGTTGTTACAGAGTCATTTCAAGGTAAAAACAAATTCACAGAGGCCTGATGATGTTTTTGCTTTCCCAGCACTTTGATTTCCCCCTGCCCAGCCCTCTGAACGTGTTTGAGATGCTGGTGATCCCAGAGCAGGAGTATCCCATGGTGTGTGTGGCCATCTCCAAGGGCACAGAGCCAAACCAGGTGGTGCAGTTTGAGACAATCAACCTGAACTCTGCATCCTCGTGGTTCACTGAGATCGGGGCAGGTGAGGCTCTTCTGCTCCTTCTCTCTTCCAAGGTTTGGTGTCTGGGAATGTTGGATGTTCCTTCCTTGGAGTTGTTTTGGAAAGCCTTCAGGTTTGGCAGCTTCTCTGCATGGAGCACATGGAAGCTGATCCCACGAGGAGAGGGACAGGGGACAAGGGATGGAGGGACAAGGACAGGGAATGGCTCCCACTGCCAGAGGGCAGGGATGGATGGATATTGGGAATTGGGAATGGGGAGAGTGGTGAGACCCTGGAATAGAATTCCCAGAGCAGCTGTGGCTGCCCCTGGATCCCTGGAAGTGTCCAAGACCAGCTTGGAGCAGCCTGGGACAGTGGGAGGTGTCCCTGCCATGGCAGGGCTGGCACTGGATGGGATTTAAGGAATTTCCAATCCCAACTATTCTGTGATTCCCTGATTCTCTGTCGTGCTGACCTGCCCACATCAGTCCAAACTATCATTAAAAAACACCTTTTATTTCCTAAATTCCCTTCAACATCAGTCAGACCCTGCTGCTTGAGTTCTCCTTTGTGGTTCTGTGCTGTTTCCTGGGATTTTGCTCTTTCCCCTCCTTTCCTGCATAAAAACTCCCAGCAATGGATTCTTGTCCATCCTCCAGCCCCTGGGGGAGGGGTTGTTATCTTCAGCTGCTCTTAAAAAGCAAAGATTTGGGTTATTTTTAAGACCTGGTTGATATTTTGCAGCTGCTTTTCTTTGCCTTTGTTGGATGTACATTTTTACCTTCAAATGTTGCTTTTTAGCAGCTGTAGGAACGACTTCATTAGTAAAAACTAGAAAAAAACATCTATTAAACTAGTTTTTATTATCATTACAACAATCTTTCCAGATGTGGATTTATGGGAAAAGGTTGGGATTTTAGGAATTAAAAGTCCTTTTGTTTATTGTGGTGCCTCTCTATGGAGGAAGCTGTGCTGAACCGTAGCATAAATTGTTTTTTATCCAGTAAAAGTTGTGTTTTCCTATTAAATACCTGCTTTGAACAGAGAGGTTTGTCCTTCTCCCAGAACATTCTGGGATCTTAGAGCCTTTAAAAATCAGAGTAACAACAAAAAAATATCAGACAAACAAGAGCAGAGTAAAAAGACCTTGAGGGGGGAGGCAGAGTCTTTTGATGTGATATAAAATATAAAATAATCTGGTTTTTTTCCCCAGGCAACCAGCAGTTGGATGCCATTCATGTGACACAGCTGGAGAGAGACACTGTCCTGGTCTGCCTGGACAGTGAGTAACATAAAATTCTCTTGGATAACTCAACTACACCTCGTGCAAAACTTGGGTTGCCACAGTTGTTGATTTGAACTTCACCACGAGTTGTTTTGGTTTTTTTTTTTTTTCTCCCTACATTATTAATTTGTGTTGTAATATTTACAAAAAGGTAGTTTGGATAAGTGGGATTTCATTCTGGCTTTTGTAATCTCTCTTTCCCTCTTCTGTCAGTGTAAAACCACCCCAAGTGATCCAAAGTTTCCTGTATTTATTTTGATAGAAAAATGCTCTTGGTTCATTTTAGGCAAATGCTATAGATCTTAAGTTTGGGGATTTCTTTGTGCATGAAAGATGAGATTTGTGTTCTACACTTAAATCCTTTTCAACAGTGGGTTTTAATGCTGATTTTTCTCTTTATCTTAAGAATTTGTGAAAATAGTGAATTTACAAGGGAAATTGAAGTCAAGCAAGAAATTGGCTTCTGAGCTGAGCTTTGATTTCTGCATCGAGTCAGTGGGTGAGTGATTTGCTGCTCTGGTGTCTCTCAAGGGTTTAAGGACTCACTGTTGAAAGCCTGACTGGTTTCTGGTCATTTCCATAGCAATGAGAACAAAATTTGGGCAGGAAAAAGTGGTTTGGTAATACATAAATCTGTGTTAGCCTTCTAAGAGTTAAGATTTTATTTCAAGTAATAGCACATCCATTTTTTAATAGTCAGGGTAATAATATTTGAATCTAATTCTCAAGCTGCTGTCTTTAGTCTAGGACAGGAGCTTTTTTTTAAAACTTGAATTGTAGCTGTCAAACAAGAATTTCTGCTGTAATAAACTCTCAGAATCACAGAATTAAATCACTCAGAGCTGGCAGCTCTGTGCTCTTTCTGTCCCTGAATGGAAAACTCTCATTTTCCATCATTCATCTGTTTTGAAGTAAGTGTAATAATTCAGGTGATGTGTCATTTCCAGCAGCCCATGGTGCTTTGGTTGGCACTGTTTGTTTTTACACTTCCTGAGGGCTTCTCCAGAATTGGGAAATCCAGGAGCCAGGGAATGGGGTGTGACTGTGTCCCTCCTTTGCAGTGTGCCTTCAGGACAGCGTGCTGGCCTTCTGGAAACATGGCATGCAGGGCAAGAGCTTCAAGTCAGATGAAGTAAGTGATTTCCAGCTTCTCCAGTTTAATTCCTCCTGTTCTTATTTAACCACTGGATCCTTTGGCTTCTCTCTCTGCTTCCCATGAAAATGCTCACATTCCACCACAATCATCAATTTATCCATTTAACATCAATTTATCCATTTCAGTTCTGTACTTTGCATAAAATTGCATTTGGATGTTTCTTTCCTTCCAGCTCAGGCCAATAAATTTCCTTTTGCTGCTGAAATGGATCTGAATATCTGCATTTTTCTGCAGGTGACCCAGGAGATATCTGATGAAACCAGGGTTTTCCGCCTGCTGGGCTCAGACAGGTAATCTCCCTGCAGAAACACAAACCTTTTGTTTTATTTAAACCAGCTTTTCTAGTTCCCAGCTGGGCCTGGCTTCCAGCCCAGCCCAGCTCTGTTTGTGGGCACACCAAGTGTCAGGGAGAGAGCAGAGATGCTCTTGGCTCTCAGGGTGCAAAAGCCTTGGATTGTCCTGGTGAGCTGGGAATTACTTTGGCAGCAGTCAGTTAAAAATATTGGCTGATCTGGAAATAGCAGAACAAACTAGAATTCACTCAGGTTTTAATCACAGTGATCCAAATCCACACATTATCCATAACCTCCAAGAGGTGCAGCTGTCCCCAGGTTTGCACACTGAGCAGAAGCTGCCCCAGGCTCCAGGTCGGCCACATTCACTTGTGCATTGTCAGGCAGCCAGAGGGATAAATGTAGGAATAGACAGGGATGAGTCCAGCAATCACTGCCAGCCACAGGATCCCAGACTGGTTTGGGTTGGAAGGGACCCTAAAGCTCCTCTTGTTCCACCTTCCACTCGAGCACGTGGCTCAGAGCCTTGAATACATCCTGCTCTCAAAACCCTGATCCTCTGCTCCCTCATCTGGCCTTGGAACTGCCAAAGCTTTGGTTTGTATTTTCCATCCCTGTACAAATGGAACAGGAGTTTTTCCTGCCATTCCACTGAGATGTGGACTCACCTTTTTCCCTTGGATCACTCTAGAACTGCTCAGGTGCAGAGGTGAGGATCAGGAACAGAGGCTGTTCAGAGACTTCATTTGAAAAGTCTTTGAGGAAAACAAAAAGCAGAGACAAATTTAATCCTAAAAACAACAGGAAGTGGTGTAGAGAAATGCTCAGCATTTGGGAGGGAGAGGGGAGGTCAAAGGCCCAGCCACACCAGCTGGTGGCCAAGGTCCAGCAGTGGTCAGTGTGCCAAGACAGGGGGAGAATCATTTTCCAGAGTGGCCCACAGGAACATGATCCAGCAGGACAAAGGCAGAGATGGGGTTGAGTGATCCCTGTGAGCCCATGAAGTGATAAATATTTAGGAGGGAGGAGAATTGTTGAGGTTGCTTATCAGAAGATGTAGGAGGGATAAACATTTGGGCTGCAGATGATGGCATCGTGGAATTACAGAATGGATTGGCCTGGAAGGGACTTTAAAATAATCCAATTCCAACCCTTCCACTACACCTTGTCCTGCAGTGTTTTTATCAGAAGTGATGCTAGAAAATGAGGGAACTGGTTAAAGAATGAAACACCCAAGATCTTTGAGGGAACCTCTCTCTCCAATGTGTAGAAACCCCCGAGTTTCCTCCTCAGGAGTTACTCCAAGAGCTGTTTTTTGTCCCTAACTGTGGATCCCGTTTGTGTTTGGTTGCAGAGTGGTTGTGCTGGAGAGCAGACCCACAGAAAACCCCACAGCTCACAGCAACCTCTACATCCTGGCTGGACATGAGAACAGTTACTGAGCACCACTCACCCAGCAAACAGCAGAGGGAATTGGCCAGGCTGAGACCCAGGAGCTCCAGGAAACCAGGACTTGTCGTTTTCTTGTCTTGACACCAGAATTGTGTTGGTTTTTAGGGTGGGAATCAATCCATTTTTGCAGCTGGGAACAGCTGGTTCTGTCTCTTGCCACTGTGTGGTTGGTTATATCGAGTTTGCTTAATAAAAGCTGAGATAAAGAGCCCTTTACTCGTTAGTTCTAGGGAAACAGAGCCTTGAAACATGTTCTGCAGTAAAGGTGCCATAAACTGTTAAATATTTCCTTTCCCTTGGATTTTCCTTTTATTCTGTAGATACAGATCTAGTGCTGGCTGTTGCCCTGTTTTATACTGAGTCTTAATAAAACAATGATTTGTGTAGGAAGTGAAAATATCTGCAAAGCTTTTTGGTTTTAAATCTGCCATTGGGTATGGCTTTGTATAATAGACTATTTAATCCTTATTTATTAATCTGCTGCTAGGATGGGGTAATGTCTAACTTTTAGCAAAGGAAGGTTGCAGAGCAGCTTACTTTTTTTTTTTTTTTTTTTTTTACAGTTGTATAAAGATTTGATTATTCTTTTTCCTTGTAGGGATGTAGTGCATTACTGAGGGGTGTGTTACCGTGTTGGGTGATCATGTAAAAAAAAAAAATGCAGTTTTGTACAACAGAGTATTTTGTACTGATTTTTCTGCCTGCAGAATTGCCATAAAAGGGATTTTCTTACTTCCTAGATGTAGGGTGTGTGTACACAAAGTAGAATATTGATATCAGACTTGTTGCTCCTGGGTGGCTGTGTACAATATCCGTGTGTGTGTGTGTGTGTGTGTGCACTTGTGTGAAGTTGCCTGGCAGTGTGTATTTTTTATATATATATTTATACATATATATATAAAAATGTACAAAACATATATGCTTTATTTTCATAAATTAGGGATAAGCCTTGTGACATGAAGTGGAAATTGTAGCAGGTCATCATCCTTAATGAATGAAAGTATCATGTATCTTAACTGCCCACGACGTGTGGTTTATTTATGCTGTTCCAGAGGGGAGCCTGAGCAGCATTCCAGCTGCTGAGCTTTGGGAATGGCTGCTGCCCCAGCTGTGAGTATAAATAAACATGATAAGAACCAGTATTCTATATCCAAGCTTTGATCACTTCTTGGTCACCTGCATTTTTTTATTTTTTTTTTCCTTTCTCCATTGAAGAGTCGCATCAGTTCCTTTTGTCTTCCTCATTAATTAAAATTCTTGAGGTACATTAAATATAGACTGACTCCAGGAGAGCATCTGGTTTTACTACCTCACATTACCCTGCTGGCTTTGATGTGAACACTCCTCGGGCAGGTGCAGTAGCAGCTCAGAAACATTGGAAATTTTGAAGGGTTTTTTTAATTAAATGCCTGTTCAGCTCCTGAGATCTGCTGCCTAGGAAGGAGAAGCTGGAATTCCCAGGTCATTTGAGCAGAGCAGGAAAGGTGTGTGACAGCTGGGAGTGGTTGGATGCTGTGTTGGCATCGGGCTCCATGATCCATAATTTAACACAGAGGGAATTGTCTGGGCCCACGTGATGGCTCAGGGATGTCTCCTTACTCAGGACAGCTGCAAGTTGGGAAGGTCCAGAGGGGAAAACAGCCCTGCACACATTTAGCATTTTAGCCACTGTCATTCCAAACTAATTCTTGCTGACTTGACATCCAAATCAAGTCAAGCTTTTCAGTTCTGACACTGTGTCAAAGCTTAAGAAGTACTAAGTGTACAGATAAAATTTGCAAATCACAGAGCGTGAAAAATGTGCTTTAGGGGTGGTCAGCTGGAATTGGATCAGCAGTGTTAAAAGCAGGACATGTGATTTTTGTCATTTAATAGAGTTCTCTAGTATTGAAATTACTTCTCCACAGGTAACAGTGACTGGTGATTAACCTCAAATGGTGCCACTCCTGGTCTTTAAAATAAAAGTTGAGGTGAAGCACCAGGTGTAGATATTGTAGAGCAAACACTTTTTAATTTACCTCATTCACTACAGAAAGTAATTTCAGCTTCATCTTTGAAAACACTTAAAGGAGATCTCTAAAAGACTAGAGAAACCTGTAAATAAAATCTGAATATTTATGGGGAATAACTGGAGTAAATAACTCTTAGATCATGACACTGTCATGCAGAAATAACGAGCTGGAAGTATTTTTCTTTGACACGAATAGGCTGGTGTTTTGCTGGATCATAAAGAATAAACTTAAGAAAGTCCTCTTTTAAACAAACCTTTTTTAGCTGTTGAAGCATTTCTAATGGCATGTTGTGAAATGCTTTCTTCTTCTGCTGGTTTCATAGACAGTGGCATTTTTTGGCATGATCTGCAAGATGCTGTTTCCTAGTGTAAAACCTCACTTTTGTTGCATATCACAAAGCAGATTTGTGTGTTCCACCAGCCTCGGTGACTCTGATCAGTATCGTTTGTGTTTGATTGTTTAATTTAGTCTGGTATTGTCTGTATCTTTGTTTTTGTGGAATTTAAACCAGGCTTGAGAAAGCCTAAGAGGGGGAGCTTGGGGATGATGAAGCAAAAGCTTGTTCAGCCCCTCCTTCCTCGCTCATTTATCAGAATTTTAACTATTGGATGCACGAGGTCATGTACCCGACTTGAAAGCCTTAAAACAGGCTCCCAGAGCTCTTGGAAGTACAAACAGCATGGGAAGAGCAGTCTGTGGATTAATCTCTTTGGATTTCCTAACCAAATTCCTTGCAAGTGAAAAATACAGCAGGAATTGTGCTGACATCTCTTTAAAGAGGAAAGGTACAACACATCAGGGAGCCACGGTGTCTCTGCATGGAAAGGACAAGACTGGGAGACTCTGAAATGTGCTTTTTTTTTACCTTGTTTAGTCGTTAGGTGTAACTGAGACTCATAACTGCACTCGTTCAGTTTGTGTAACCAGGCTTTGTTCCACGGGAATTTCTGTTGCAGTTCAGTCTATGCCAAATAAACTGCTTTATTTGATCCGTGGCGTGGTGACTCGCTGGCAACAATACCTTGTCAGAGGGATCTGGGGAGAATCCAGCCGGTCTCCAGGTTTTGTGGCTGCTGTGGGAAGGGCCTGGCACCGCTATTCTCTGTCTTGCAGACTGCTGGGAGCCAGCACAAGAGGGAGAAATCAGAGTAGCAGGGATAAGTTATTCCCTGTCAGTCAGCTGGGAGCACCAAGGAAGCACTCAGGAGTTGTTTGGCTGGAAAAGCAGAGGCTGGCTGCCTTGTGCTGGGAAGAGAGCAGGGGCTGGTGGGCTTCAAAGGGCTGCTAAGAGTAGGAGAACACACCTTGGCAGGATCTAGAGCAGTTTACACCTTGTCCTCACACTTAGGCTGTTTGCTGCAGGTGCTGCAGGTGCTGTACCTGTATCCCAGATCTGCTGAGCTAGAGGAAAAAGGGGGTTAAAAAAATTACATAATGAATGTGCCTTTGGACAACACAACTGTCAGTTATTGGCAGTTCTATTTATAAATAAATACACAGCAATATTCCTCCTCTGCAGGAGACTGGTGTCTCTGGGGGTCAATCTTGGCAGCTGGAATGTGAGCGCTGCACGTCTCTGATGAATGTGGCTTGGGAAGAAAAATAATTCGTGGATCTTTGTTCTGAGTTGGGAAGCACCTCAGGAAAGGATTGGGTTGGGAGGAGGCATGAGATGGAGTGGGGTGCCCACACTTATATTCAGATCTGATATTGAAAGCAGTTACCAGCACAAAAAGCCACCTTGGTCAGGGGTTGAGGAGAGGGATGAGGATCCAGGGAGCCACGTGGGTGCACCAGGAAAGAGAACAGGATGGTCAGGGATGGAAAACCTCGACCGAAAGAAGGGTCTGGCTGCTGGCAGAGCCCATTCAGTGACAGAGACCTGAGATTCTGGAACCCTGCAGGGGGACGATGTTCCAGGGAAACCTCCAGGTTCCAGAGGGAAGCGCGGGCGCCGCTTGAGGCTGGCAGACCCTGTGGAAGGATCTTCCCTCTTCCAGCCCGGCAAGAAAACGGAGTCAAACCTAGCGATCCTCTGGAGACAGAGGCAAAGACAACACGATCGTGGCAGTGGGGTTGGAGCTGGATGGTTTTTAAGATCCCTTCCAGCGCAATCCATGAGTGGTTCTGTGGCTCCGTGAACCGGCGCTGCGGGCCATGGAGCCCGGGGGGGGATCGTGAGGCGCGGAGTCACCGAGCAGCCCCGGCAGCGACCATGGGGAACCCCCGCTGTCCTTCCCTCCCTCCTTCCCTCCCTTCCCCCGGGCCCGCCCCGGCCCTGGCGGTGTCCCCGGGGCGGTTCCTGGGGCCGTCCCCGCCGGGGAAGGGGAGACTCCCCCGCCCGGGGCCCGCCCCGGCTCCGCGCTGAGGCGGCGGCGGAGCGCGCCGGGGCTGCCCGGCCATGGAGCGCTACGAGAAACTGGGCAAGGTCGGGGAGGGCTCCTACGGCGTCGTCTTTAAATGCCGCAACAAGGACACGGGGCAGATTGTGGCCATCAAGAAGTTCCTGGAGTCCGAGGAGGACCCGGTGATCCGGAAGATCGCCCTGAGGGAGATCCGCATGCTCAAGGTGGGACGGACCCCGCTGCCGGCGCGGGGTGTGCCCGCCATGGCGAGCCCTGAGGGAGCAGGGACAGGGTGTGAGGGGACAGGGTGTGAGGACATCCATGAAGGGACGTCGTGAGGCTACAAGGTGTGAGGACAGCAGTGAGGGGACAGTGTCGTGAGGGGACAGGGTGTGAGGACATCCATGAAGGGACATCGTGAGGCTACAGAGTGTCGTGAGGGGACGGGGCGTCGTGAGGGGACGGGGTGTGGGGGCAGCCATGAAGAGACGGGGCATGAGGCCATCTGTGAGGTGCTGGGGTGTCGTGTGGGGGAAGCAAAGAGACGGGGATGAAGGAGCACCATGAAGTGCCCAGGTCAGTCAGTTCTTCTGGGAAAAAGCCGGTGCCAGGCAATGTCCGAGCCGCCTGTCCAGGGATGGCGATGCCGGGGGATCCTGCCCAGCAGGAGCAGATGGGAGCTGGGGCACGGCCATGAGCAGCCGCCAGGACTTCCCTGCATGGAGGGACTGGCCCAGGCTCTGTCCCCCATGGAGTCGGCGATGTCCTGGCCGGTGTGGGCACAGCTTTGCCCTTGGTGTGTGCCACGGACCCCTCTGTGTCCAGGAGATTCCCCAGAGCAGTATAAAACACATGGGCAAAAAGCGAGGCTAACACAGCATGAGGAGAGGGACAGCCAGGGGACACAGCTCTCCCTGCTCCGCAGTTGATAAATCTGCCCCAGCTCCTCCTTAAAACGCCCTTTCTGAGCCCCGGGGTGTGCAGGATCCCGCTGTGCATTGAATGCCAGGGGCTGCGCAGGGTCGGGTATTCCACATGGAAGGGACAGCACAACCGGCACCACTGAGCCTTGTCTTTGCTGATCCTTTCCTGAGCTCTCTGTGAGAGCTCATCCTCACACAGAAATGGGTTATTCCTTCAGCCTCTGGCTTTATTTTGCCGATGAAATAAAAGCACGGGGGCACCTGCAGTGAGTCACACCCCAGGTCAATCCAGCATGCAAAAATGAGAGACCCGGCAGAAACGGGGAGAGGATCGGGTAAGGTTTCTTTTCACTGTCCCAGCTTCTGAGCGAGGATTCTGCAGCCAAAGGCTGTGCCTGTTGCTGTGTGCATCTGCAGACTGCTGGGACTCTGTCCCATCTCTTTGGAACTCGTGTGTTCATTTGGTCTCCATAGTTTCCTGAGGCTTTAGGAATGTGTTGTGTGAAAAAAAAACATTTCTTCTTCGTTACAAACTTGCTACTGGGTGATGGCACCCAGTACCCTCAGCTTTGTATGCCAAGAAATGGGATGTGTCCCCTTTGCACTTTTTCCAGGGTGCTCATGATTTGTAGGAAAACAATCATCTAAGAGAAAGCGTAATTATTCAGTCAGATTTTGGGGAGAAGCAGCCTAAGTTTTTCTTCTGTCCAAAGTAAATGCAGGACATGCAGCTATATGGTTTCAGTGAACAATGCTAGGTTTACATTAAGATTTAAGTAATACTAAACATCTGAAAAGGCAAATAATCATTACATAAGTCTCTTGTAAAGAAGCTGGGAACTGCATCATTCTTAAGGATCCAAAGCCATCACAGCCAGGCACAGCAGGATATGTGTTGGGGCACTGTTGACTTTAACAAGTGCAGACCTGCTGGACTCTCTGCAGCTTTTTCTCTGCAAATAGTAACAGTATTGTTTGTTAGTTTGTGGAGGCACTTCCTGGCTTAGGCAACTCCTGTTTGTCAGAGATGGAGTGAGGTTGAGTTTCATCAGTAGAAAATGATGGGCCTGATAAATAATTTTTCTGCCCAGTAAATACCTTACAGACAAAGGGATTTTTGTGGCCAGGAACCAAGGGACGTGGAGTGGGAGTTTGCAGAGTCTTGAAACCATAGAATCCCAGAATGGTTCGGGTTAGATCTAAATATTATCCCATTTCTCCCCCTGCCATGGCAGGGACACCTTCCACGCTGCTCCAAGCCCCAGTGTCTAGTCTGGCCTTGGACACTTCCAGGGATCCAGGAGCTGCTACAGCTGCTCTGGGAAACCACCCTCACAGGGAAGAATTCCTTCCCAATATCCCAGGACAAGGGGCAATGGCTTCTCACTGCCAGAGAGTTGGAACACTGGGCACAGTTTGTTGCCCATCCGTTTAGATCAGTAAATACACACAGGCTGAGCTGTGCTTGTAGAAATGATTCAGCTTAAGGAATTGTGTGACCCTGCAGGAAAAATCTGTCCCCAACACGTTCACCCTGTGCATCTCCTGACCATCCCACCCCGTGTGTGTTGCAGCAACTCAAACACCCGAACCTGGTGAAGCTGCTGGAGGTGTTCCGGAGGAAGCGGCGGCTGCACCTGGTGTTCGAGTACTGCGAGCACACGGTGCTGCACGAGCTGGGCAAGCACCCCCGCGGGTGAGTGGCCCCTGTCCCCCGCCAGCTCCTCCGTGTCGCTGCCCTGTGGCTTTTCACAGGGAGTTCATTGATTTCAGAAGAGATTTCTCAGGTGGGAAAAACGAGGTTTGCTTTTTGAGGCTCCAGGCGGCTCTTTAAAAATGCTGTTTATTATATCCAGAGGATTCAGCAATTCACGGGTCCTGGGTGACAGAGCCCAGCCCACACCTGTCACCTCAGCTGTGGGTTTGTCTGAAGCCACTCTAGTTCTGTTACAATGCATTCTAGATTTTCCTTTTAATACATGACAACCAATCAATATCTTTACTATTACCTGTAGCCTGTCATAACTACTAACATTACCATATCCATGTTACTATTTTTCCAATCACAAAAAGTTAGTGTATTGCAGTTTAAGCTGGAAGTTGTTTTTCAGTTTTCTTGTAGTGGAAAATTCTGAGATCTTTTCTCTACTTGCATCATTGGCTTTTTTATTTGCCTGTGAAAGTCTTTTTGGTTGGTAAAAACATCTTTTGTTTGAGGTGGATTTATCTTTTGCTCTATGTCTTAAAAAGCTCCTTCCAACTCACTTACCCTTTGCTTTCTAGTTATCCACTCAGACTGGCTCAGCAATTCCTTTCTTCTATATCAAAATTTGCTTTCATTTCTATTCCTTCTTCAGATTCTACATTCAAAGATCTTTGTGTTACACACACACATCTGTGAGACCTTCCTGTCAAATTCTTATCTTTCCCCCAGGTAGAAAGGTAGATTTTAAAAGGTTTAATAAAAGACAATAAGGTAGATTTTAAAAAATTTAATAGAAGACAGTAAGAGACAAACAATAAAGTAAAAGGTTATAACAGCCAGGTGCTTGGCATTTAGCCAAGAGTGCATTTGCTGTTTTGGGGACACTCCTTGAATTTATTAGTCTGTTGCATATTTATAGACTTATCGTGCATTTTCAAACTTTTCTATAAACTGTTTTCCATATTTTAGGAACTGTTTTCTATGGCTTTTTTGAGTCTGTCTTTTTAGAGCATGCGTGTTTTTTGGCTGTGGTTTTAATTTTTTATTTTATTAGTCTTAATTTGGGCTGTGGTTTTTAATTTTTACATACATTCGGTGCTGGTAACAGTTATATCAGTAGTAGGTGTTTTCACTGGGTATTATCTAACTAAGCAGATAATTCACTTACTACAAAGCTACTTTATGTTATTCCTAAAGAAAACTGTATCTTAATAACCAAACGTATAGTATCCACTCTAGTATCTGCGAAAACATAATCTGTATCTGCAGTATCTGCAACACCATAATATGTATTTATAACATCGGGGCTGTCTCTGTTTGTGGTTTGGCACAGGAATGGCGTAGGAGCCGCGTTCCCTCCCGCACTGCCCCGCTCACCACGGAGACGGCAGCGCCGAGCCGAGCTTTGGGAGAGCTCAGGCCGGGCGGGGAGCAGCGAACCCGGGGCTTGGGAGCAGCTTGAGTCCTGCTCCTTCCACTTCCCATCGCCCCATACAGAACCAGGGACTGGGGGAATCATTTAGGTGTGGTCACTGCGCTGCAGAGAGAGAAAGGACAGCAACACACACGGAGCTCTTTGGGGAAAAAAGGCCAATTTATTGTACAGACAGCCCGGATTTAAAGTGTGTTAGTGCAGCCAGGACAGGACAGGAGCTCATTGGACAATTGGGAAAAACATCCTTGGGACAGCACCTCAGGATGTGTCCCACGGGAAAGACACCAGGGGTTAATCTTTATTATGAATTCCACTTCCACCCTAACTGAAGCTGCAGTCAGCTTGTCAGCCTGGGAATGGAGCTGAGAGTCAGGAGAAATCCAAGCCTGAAAAAGAATTTCCAAGCTGTAATTCCCTAGCTCTGTGAATGTGTCCACTTTTAGGTTGGAACAGCCTTCTGAGACCATCGAACCCAACTGTTAGTTCACCACTAAACCGTTGTCCCCAAGTGCCACATCTACACTTTTGAGCACTTTCAGCCCTTCAGAGTGAGTAATTCCTAAGAGCTGTGCCTGCACCCTGTGGAAAACGAGGTTCCTGGTAAAATTTAAAGTTTTTAAAAAGACAGTAAGACACAAACAATAAAGCAAAAGGTTATAAGCCAATAATAGAATATGTACTTATAACAACTCCTGTGCAAAACTTCTCTTCAAACAGGTGCTTGCACCAAGTGTGACTCCACACTGGGTTTGCTCTGTGGACACCTTGTAAACGCCACTCCCGCTGTCCCTAATTACCCGCGGTGCCTCGGAGCTGTGGAAATGCTAAGCTCGAGTCCATAAATCATTTCACAGGCCTGGGGCTGTGAATTGCCTGCGGGAGACTGATGGGGGTTGAGTAAACAAGAGCTTGTTATTTATTTACTCCTTTTCTCTCGGGTGAGGAGCACCAGGAGAAGGGAGCATGCTGATGGCACGTGGCTTTGTGAGCTGCCACCCCGCTTGGAACCTGTTCACCTGGAATCTGGAGAGGGGATGGATAACTCTCTTGGAAGGAAATGCTTCCCCTGTGCTGACTGTTCATCAGAACAACTCCAGTGTGAAGGAACATGTAACAACTGGCTGTGCTTTGCTTTTCAGCTTTGCTAGGGCAGATGATCAAGTCCTTTGTGGTCAGGTTAAGATGGGTGGGCACGTGCTGATTCCAGCTCATTTGACTCTTTTCCAGCTGTCAGAGCAGCACTCCCATCATTCTGGGATATTTCTGGAAGGAATCTCTACTCACAGTGTCAGCAGAGTGTCACTGACCCACTGACAGCAGAAAGTGAAAGCCAAGCTTGAAACAACAACTCAGGCTTGCATTGGTTTTGTTTATTTTGGGGAGTTTTTTCCTTTATTATGAATCAGAAGCTTCTCAGTATTAAAAGTGTGAAATAAAATTGTGTTTGAGTTTGAAAATGCCAAGATTGTCACCTCTGCCTTTCCTGGGGTTGTTGAAGATCATTACAGACAGCCAGAAATTTCAAGAACTGTTGCCCAGTAACTGAAAGAAAGGAGAGGGTGCTGGGAAGTGTTTGCCAGCTCTGGAAGGGGAGGGCTCCAAACCAAGGCAGAACTTTATACTCTTGTCTGAGCACCTTTCCTTGGCCCATTTTTCACCTCTCCACTCTGGACAATCAGTGCAGCATTCCATGTATCTGTACCATGGATACTCCAGCAGTTCCAGCCCTGAGAGCTGCTGAGACAGAAATTCCTGCTGGCATTTCAGGATGGCCAGAAATCGTGGTCACAGGGCAGCCCATGCTGGCTCTGACAGTGGTACCACACATAAATCCTCCTGTCTTGTTTCACTGACTGCTTTGGAAGTGTTTCCTCACTTCCCCTGATGGTTTTGCTCACAGATCCTTGTACAATGTCAGCACTTATTTTCCCAGAAATGGTGAATTTATTATTTATGGCCAAATAAAACTCTGTTTTTTCCAACAGGGTGCCAGAGTACCTGGTGAAGAGCATAACCTGGCAGACCCTGCAGGCTGTGAACTTCTGCCATAAACACAATGTGAGTCCCCTGACCTGCACTAATGATTGCTGGAACGTGGCCTTGGAGGAGAGAGGGGGTTTCTGTGGGCCTTTTCCTGATTCCAGAGCTTTCATGGGATGGAATCAGATGGAATCTCCTGTTTTCAACAGGAAACACATCTGAAATATTTGTGTATAGCCACCCCAGCTGTCTGCACTGTCACACAGGCCCCTTGGCTTGGCTGTCAGGGAATAATTTGCTCTAATTACCTTAGACAAGCTTCCAGGAGGAATGGGAATGATCCCTGTGGGATTCCCTGTGCCCTGCACTACTGCTGACCTTCAAGAATCTGCCTTTCCAGTTCATGAACAGGGACCTGAGCAAACTGCTGCTGATTACACAGAAAGTCCTTCAGCTGACTGGCATGGGGTTCAATCATGGCACCAGTGAAAAGATATCAAAACTTAGACACAGTAAACCCATTTTTACAACCCCTCCTCTTCTCTCTGGAGGGAGACACGAGTTGTGTGTGTGACAGATTCTTCAATGGGAACATTTTAAGAAGCAGGGAAGGAGAAGGAGCCTTTTGGTGAAGCTCTTTAGGCAAACTTAGCTCTAATTGTCTTTGTTTTTGTTCATCTGCCAATATTTGAGATTTAACAGTGGGGCAGGAGATGGCCCTGGAATGGCTGTTTTGTCTTTGCTGAGAGAATTATGTCCAGTTGAGCCACAGGAACTTGGCCACAGGTCTCTCCTGCTTCCAAGATTTGTTGGTTTGCATCTTTTTTCTGTCTGGAAGATTTAATGGAGTTTGAGAGCAGAGGGGACAATGAGATGGTACAGCCTGCCTTGCTGTAGATCACAGGTAATGAGGTTTTGTGCAGCTGCCCTTTTGGGAACTCCATGACAGTGGTTTAATAAGCAGCATTTCAGTTCTCAGGAGGAGACAATAATTTACCACAGCTTGGCAAGGAAAGTCCAAGGTATTTCCTCTGAGGTGATGATGGGAGAGAGACAATGTGAGTGAGACCCCAGTGAGTTGAGTAGAGCAAAAGAAATAAAGGTCTTTGTTAGTTTGATCAGCAGAAATTCTTCACCAAGCCCAGATTCAGTTGTTGTGAAGGACAAAGTCACCTCCAAAGAATCACAGAATTGCTGATGCTGGAAGGGGCCTCTGGAAATCTCCTCATCCAACCCTTGCAGTCAAGCTGGATCAGCTAGAACAGGCTGTTCAGAGACTTTTCCAATCAGGATTTCAGTATCTCCAAGGCTGGAGGCTCCCAGACTCTCTGGACAATCTCTTTGGGTGTCTGGCCATATCCTCATTAAAAAACAAAACAAACAAAAAAAAAAGATAAAATAAATTGGTTAGGTTTAAATGGAATTTCTGTGTGTTCAGTTTGTGCCCATGGTCACTGTCCTTTCACTGCACTGCCAAGAACAGCCTGGCTCAGTCTCCTTTACTCCTTCCCATCAGGTATTTAATGCACATTGGAGAATTTCAACTGGAGCCTTTCCTGACAGTCCCAGCTCCCTCATCCTCTCCTTGGATGTCAGGCACCCCAGTCCCTTAAATTTTGGTGGCCCTTCACTGGAGTCCCATCGTCCCTCTATGAAGGGTCCCAGAGCTGGACACAGCTCTGGGTGTGTCACCTGTGCTGAGCAGAGCTCCTGCTGAGCTTTGTCAGCAAAACCACTGGGCAGGAGCTTCCCAGGGGGTTCAGGGAGCTGACTCTGTGTTGTCCAGGGGACACAGAGCTGGCAGCTGGAGCTGGGAGCCTGCAGTGTCTCTCTCAAAGGTGAGCTATGGACACGTCACTGTCCTGCTGCTCAGAAATCTTCCATCTTCCCTTTCAGCAGGAATAACTGCCTGGCACAGTGTGTGAGGGGAGTGTGGCTGAATTTAGCTGAGGGCCAGGTTAAATACTTCTCACCTTGCTTTTTTTCCTTCTTCCAGTGCATCCACCGGGATGTAAAGCCAGAGAACATCCTGATAACAAAGCACTCGGTCATCAAACTCTGTGACTTTGGATTTGCCCGAATCCTGAGTGAGTGCTGACTCTTTATGTACTCAAGAGTGTGTGATGAGCCATTCCAACCTTCACCTGTCTGTCTGACCCACTGCAAATCATCCTGTACAAAAGGCTGTGTGTTTTCCTAGGGGAGCTCTGCTGCAGGCTGGGTACAAATTCCTAAACCTTGCAGGGAGGGAGCCCAGACACTGCGGTGACATCTGTAAACACTGAGCTCCCTGCCGGGCCAGCAGAGCCGCTGGGGGTGCTGGCCCGGGGACATGGAAGTCGGCCTTGGGGCTGCCCAGCCTTGTTTATGCAGCGCTGGAGACACAGCTGGAGCTCCCTGGCAGGAAGAGCCCCTCTGGCTGCCTCTGCAGACAATGGCTTCACATTTTCCGTTGTAAATAAACCCCCTATAATCGGGTTTTTTTAGCTCCTCTTCGGACAAATCACATGGGCTCTGAGAACCGCCCACTGGCCACTGCAGGGCCGCGCTGTGGAGCTCTGCACATTTTCATTTGGAGGAAAACACGGTGTTGATTTTTACCAGACCCTGAGTGTTTCCAAAGTTGGGTTCTGCCGGTGACTCACCGTGCTCCCGCAGCTCTGGCCTGCCCGGGAGGTGTCCCAAAATGTAACAAGTGACGATGGCTCCTCTGCATCGCTCTGATGCCACGTTCCGTTCGTGTCTCTCTTTCTCCCCTGACCCCAGCTGGTCCCAGTGACTACTACACCGACTACGTGGCCACCAGGTGGTACCGCTGCCCGGAGCTGCTGGTGGGGGACACGCAGTACGGTCCCCCCGTGGACGTGTGGGCCATCGGCTGCGTGTTCGCCGAGCTGCTCTCGGGGGTGCCCCTGTGGCCGGGCAGGTCGGACGCGGACCAGCTGTACCTCATCCGCAGAACCCTGGGTGAGTGTCCCTGCAGCCACCCCACCCCCGGCAGCGCTGGGGTGTGCCCAGGTGGGGATGGGGAATTTACACACCTGATCTCTCCCTTTAGAAGGTGCTGCTTTGTTTAAGGGCTTCCTGTCCTTCAGAAGGAGCTGGGTTTTCCTGCCACGATGTACGTGTGCTAACAGGCTGAGGATTGAGATCACTGCCTGCAGACTGGCACCATCTCCTTAGCGGTGGTGGCTCTGGGAAGCTGGGTCTGCTGCAAGGCAGGTTGGGAAAGATGTGGCATGTGTTTGGTGACCACTGGATGCCCCTTCTGGTCCCTTGGGATGGCTCAGTGACTGCCGGGGTGAGGGAGCACAACAACTTCAGCTGTCTCCACACATGAGGTGCTTGTATCAGAAAAGACCAGGAATGTTTTGCATAAAAGTTAAAAAGGTGTTTTTCAGTGTTTGATACCAAGCAAAGTGGTCCATGAGCAGCTGGATTTGATTCATCCCAGCTTTGGAGGTCTCAGAAGTGTTGTCAGTGCCTGGGAAGGGGAATGTGAACATCACAGCTTGTCTGTTCCACGTGTTTCTTGTTGTTCATCAATAATTTAGGAGCCACTCCATATTTATTTGTTTAAAAAAAGAGTCATTATCCCCCATAACATTTAAATTAATGCAGTCCCATTGATTCTTTTCAGTTTTGGTGTGTAACATCTGATTTCTTGGGTGACAACAAACAACCCCCCACTTTTAACTGAAATTTGTTGGAATGAACAGAGTTGTAATTTTAACTGAGCAGTTTATAAAACTACAAAGGTGACTAATGGCTTTAAACAGATAAGCTCCTTAGCTAGAAAAATAGTTCATCACTGATTGCTTCATTATCCAGAATTCATTAATGCCAGTGTTAGGCAGTTATAATTGATTTTTAATGATAGGGTTTCAGCCAGAGGAGATTCCCAGTGATTGTTGGATCCAGGTGCTGGACTGAGGCAGTGTTCACACAGCAAAGCTCCTTGATTGAACCCCTTATGGGTTTGGCATTGTACTGGCTCCTTTGCTGTGGATTTGATTTTAATATTTTCCTCACTCTGGGCTGCTCTGAGATTCAAAAACGCTGCCTTGGGGAAAAGCTGCAGCAGGTTCAGGTGGGGCTGTGTTCCAGCTCTTTCCTACACAGCACCCTCAGGAGTGTCCAAAGAGAATTTCACCCAAAAGGAGTTAAATTTTTCTGAAGCTGGAACACTTATGGCCCTGCCTTTCCTTCAGCACAGTCACATGGGTATGGGATCACTGACAGCCAAAGTGGACATTAATTGTCACAAGAGAACATTGCCTTGGCTCACTTGGTGACATTCCCCCTCTTCAGATGTTGTCTTGGGTGGCATCAGCCTTATTAGAGGATACAACACTGTAAAATTAAGCAAATTACTCCAATTTTTTATTTTATTTTATTTTTAATTCTTGGTCGAAGGGGATCTCATTCCCAGGCACCAGCAAGTGTTCAGCACCAACCAGTTCTTCAGTGGGGTAAGAATTCCAGAGCCAGAGAGCATGGTAAGAGCTGCCTCCAGCTGCCCTTCCCTCCCTTCCCCACCCTGCCCAGTCCTTCACTCTGCAGTGTTTTTTCCCTGCCCAAAAGCTTTATCTTCTACTTTGTACCAGAATATTGTTTGGACATTTTAACTTACAGCCTGTGTAAAAACAGTCCAAAAGTGTTTAACCTCTGCTGCTTTCCCCCATTTCTGGTGGCACATCCTCAGTGCTGCCAGGTGTCTGAGCACACAGAGTGATGGAGGCATTTTGTGAGGGACAGGTCATGTTCCTATGGAAAGCTGGGTCTTGGTACCCTGATGAGTGAAAGTTTGCTAATATGAGTCCATTCACTATTTTCTTCCCCTGCAGGAGCCATTGGAAATGAAATTCCCCAACATTTCATACTCTGCACTGGCTCTCATGAAGGTAAGGAAGCTCCAGCTTGTGGAGAGCCCTGCACTGGGATAAACAAATCATCTGTGAGAGTCTGGGACTGAGTTACCAGAGATCCATTGAAAAATAGATCTGGGTTTGCTGCCCCATGTGATTGCACCTGTTCCTTGAGCCACAGTTCCTACTACAATTATGCACTCCCCATCCCTGGAAGTGTGCAAGGCCAGGTTGGGCAGGGCTTGGAGCAGCCTGGGATGGTGGAAGGTGTCCCTGCCCAGGGCAGGGAGTTGGAACAAAAGGGTCTTTAAGGTCCCTTCCAATCCAAACCATTCCATGATTAACTTCTGTAACTGTTGGATAATTAACTGGTCCTCAAGTTTCGTGCTGACTCCGAAAAGCCACTTTTAGAATCCGTTAAAAATATTACTGACACATGTACCTGTGGGATCACCCATTGGCTGTGGGAGCAGCTGGGACTGTGCAGGGCTGTGTAAGGAGTGCTTTGTGTGATCCTCCCCCTTTTGTAAGGGCTGCCTTCGGATGGACCCTGCAGAGAGGCAGAGCTGTGAGCAGCTGCTGCAGCACCCCTACTTGGACAGCTTTAGGGAGGCAGCAGAGCTGGGCAAAGAACATGGGAAGAGCCCTCGGAAACCTGCCAGGCTGACTCGGAAGCACATGCCCGGGGTGAGCTTTCCATGGTTTTTAACATTCCCTGCCTAAGGAGGAGCTGCTCTTTTGTTGGCTCGCAGGGTGGGCTGTGCTGGCAGCTGAGGGTGTTGGGCTCGTCTTGGTTTTATCCTGAGGGGAAAACAAACCCCCTGGCTAAAGAGTAACTCCATACAAACTGGATTTTGCACTGGGGCACTGGGGATAAACAGCACAGCCCTGTGCATGATAAGGTTCATCCAGAAATGTGCATTCCTGACCAAGAGCAGCAGGAGGGCTGGACAAACTGGACACATTCACGTGGCTGGTTTAATTTTCAATACTCTGGTGCTTTTCAATTCTGAGTTGTGGAGATGGAATAAACACAACTTCTGTTTGTAACTGCTGATGGGACACGATCCCATGCTCAGTTCCACACATTACCCCGTGCACTGGGTGTTTCTGCAGCTGGAGCTGCCAAGCAAATGTCTCTCTGCTGCTCTGGCTTTTCCAGACTCCATCCCAAGTCCCCAAATCCAGCCTCACAATGCCACTCATTCCACATTTCTTCATTCCTGTGAGCCACGTTCCCCATGGCAGCTCTAACACTGAGCTGGGAACAGGCAGGGAAGTTGGAAGGTGAGGGATGGAGAACTGCTACTGAGTCAAACCCATTGGCCTCTTCCATTTTCATGACCTGGGATATTTTTCTTGCCTAGTAGAATTCTTTCATGAGTTGTTCTAGTTGCAGTCATAAAACCCCAGAATCTTAGCTTGGAAAGTACAGGATTACAGTAGGAATAGTTTTATAGCTCAGATTCCATGTGAAAATTGATTCCATGTGTGCTTTATTCCCATTCCAAATAAATACACACTGTGTAACTTCTCCTTTAGTTACAGCACCTGCCTCAGCTGACCTGCAGCAACGTTCTCCCAGCTTTGGACAGCAAGAAGAACTGCTGCCAGACAAGGAAATCAAAGTGCCACTTCCCAAACATCTGACCAGGTGGCAAATCACAACTCAGTAGCTGGAAGTCATCCAGGATTCCTGAATGGAGGATATGGAGTGGAAAACTAAATTACTCCAAGTTATTGCATGTACAGAGTAGTGTGTCCTCTACTCTGGGTCACTGATGGAGAGGAGGTGATGCAGAAACAATTCCAAGCTCATCTTAGTGTTCTGTGTACAAAGGCAAATACATTCTGCTTTAATTCCTGATTGCCTCCTGGTTCAGGATTACCCCAACCCAGTGCTCACAGTATGAAATTGAAAACTCTGCATTTCAGACTTGGCAGGAGAACTCGACCTTGCCAAATACACGAGTCCCTCCTGCTTTAGCCTGGCCCAAGTCCCTGCTGTGTGAGGAGCTGTGGCTGTGCTGCTGAAGGGGTGGAGGATGTGGAGGTGCAGCCCAGGCTGAGGGGCTGCTCTCAGCTCCAGAGTTACACCGGGCTCACTCCTGCCCTTACACAGCTCAGAAGTTTCAAAGTGCTGCACCACGCCCAGGAGAACAGAGCAATATCCCTTTAGTCTCTCCAGAGCTTCTCCTGCAAGTTTCATCCTTGAATTCTGCTTCTGACAAGAGTGAGGGCACTTGCTGGTAGTTACAAAAATATTTTTATCAAAACTAATCATGAATGTAATTTATAGTATTGGCCAGACACAGGCAGGAATTCTACCTAAGTGTTTGTATTAGAACGACTGGGGTTTGTGGAATCTCAGGGTTTAATATTGTGTTGATTTTGAATAAAAGAAATGTAGTTTCTTTTTCCAATTTACTGGAGGTATTTTACTATATAAAGCTTTACTACGAACATCCTCTTTTTACTGACACTTTGAGCAAAAATACTTTGCCAGTATATTTTCTGTTCCACAACAGTAAAAGCCCTTTCAGTGGGACAGGGGCCATGTTCTGTGTGTGCCTTGGCCTTCTGTTTCCTTACACATGGAAAACCATCTGTGCATCTGAGTGCTTGGAGCCAGGGCCTTCTGCCCTTCCCTGTCCCCCAAACCAGGGATTTGACTGAAAATGCTCTGTTCTCCTCAGGGATGAGCCATTCCCTCTGTGCTGGCACTGCTGAGGCCCCACCTCCAATCCTGGGGACACTTTGGAGTCTCTCACGAGA